GGCTAGCAAGTAGAATGCAATCACTATCCTTTGCTCCATTATCCTCTGTGGTTCAACTTCCTTCCCAGAAGTGCTTATTTTCCTCTCTTAAAAGTGCTTTAATTACACAATTTAAATACTCTTTTTCAACACTGGAGAGTCTAGGATGCCCTGGGATTGCAGGCACAAGAACTCTCTAAGTACAGTACATAAAAACCTGCTTACCAGGAAGCAGCCAATCTTCTATGACTCTGCAGATTCTTACAGACCTAGAAATACAAGTCGATCAAGGTCCACATAAGAAATGATTTAACTTCATCAACTTTTCTTCAATTAAGGCACTTCCCTCCCAATATTTGACATGAAAATTTTCAAACATAAAGAAAAGTATAAAGAATTACACAGTGAACATCCTATAGCTACTACCGAGACTCCCCAATTAACATTTTACTATGATTGGCTTCATCACGTAACTACCCATATATCCAACTCTCTATTCATTGCTCAATGTATCTTATTTTTAAAATATATATATTTCCATTTAAATCCTAATACACTGAACGCTTCTGAGCTGGGGTGTGAGATAATCACTTCGCATTTTTAAACACTCACTCTTTTTCTTTTTTTTGAGACAGAGTCTCACAGTGTTGCCCGGGCTAGAGTGCTGTGACGTCATCCTAGCTCACAGCAGCCTCAAACTCCTGGGCTCAAGCAATCCTTCTGCCTCAGCCTCCCAAGTAGCTGGGACTACAGCTGCGCCACCATGCCCGGCTAATTTTTTTCTATATATTTTTAGTTGTCCGATTAATTTCTTTCTATTTTTAGTAGAGACAGGGTCTCACTCTTGCTCAGGCTGGTTTCGAACTCTTGAGCTCAAACAATCCGCCACCTGGGCCTCCCAGAGTGCTAGGATTACAGGTGTGAGCCACCGCGCCCGGCAACACTCACTCTCTTAACTGAGGGAAACACAAATTGGAGGATCCAGGGTGTCTCTAAACAGCACAAGGTTTGAGTCCCTGCTGTCACTTTTTAGCTGTATCACCTTGGGCAAGCCACTTACCCTCAGTTTCCTTGTCTATAAAAATGGCTTGATGATAATATACTTACGTCATAGGGTTGTCATAAGAATGATATAAAATTAGTGCATGTAAGGTATTTAGTATAGTATCTATAGTTCCAATAAGTGAAACAGTAATAATTAAAAAAGAAATTGCAGGCCCCTATCTTCCCAGCCTGCCTCCAGTCCATTTGCCCCTCTGTTTCCTACCCAGTAATCATCTTGCTTCTCACATCCTTATCCAGTATATTCCATGGTCCATAATTTTGTTAACATCCTAAACTCCCCTCCTCTGCCCATTTTGCCTTTTCTTCACACCCCTTTGTCAAAACGCCAGCCTAGATAAACCCACTGGCCTCCGTACCCTCCATGTGAAATTGATCAAACAGGGCAGGTTGGCTCTGCTCTAGATCTACAGTCCCCAACCAGGCCACACATCACCACCTGAGTTCCATGAAACCAGTCCCTGGGGCCAAAAAGGTTGGGGACCACTGCAGATGGATGAGCACCAACCTGGATCCAACCAGCTGGCCAAATGGATACTGAGATGTTTATCTCTTAACTGCCTCTCCCTCTCCGTGGCCTGAAGTTTCAGCAAACACCTCTGTAGCAGGCACCTTTGGTTCCTGTTTCTCCCGTCGTGTTACCTAACCCTCTGCTCTGGAGGCTTCCAGAAGGAAACAACATGTTTTCTCCACTTTTCTTCAACTCAGACCCTCCCCCAACACTCAGTCAGGCACCTTGCTCCTCTTTTTCAGTAGATCATCTCCATTCTTAATGGACAAAGGAAACAGAAACCAACAGGGAGGAGTATCCTCAACTCCCCTATCAAACACAACAAAGGCTCCCACAAGGGCACAACTTCACCTCTCCTTAAAACAGAGATGCCATCCTGCCCTTGGTAAAAGCGAACCCCTCCGCCACACACACACACCCAGGCTTTAGATCCCACCCTGTGGACCTTTACAGAAGCCTTCAGCAAGGACAATCCCTTCTCTCTCTTCTGTTCCACTGGACCCTTCACTTAGACTTTTCAACATACCCAAATCTCTCCCATTTTCAATAAAAACAGTGTGTTAGAGAATGTTCTTCTTCTTTGAAAATGCCACTGAAATATTTAATGGTAAGGGGACATGATGTCTGTGATATACTCTCAAATGGTTATATACACACACACACACACACACACACACACACACACACAGAGGAAGTTGTCAATAAAGAAAACAAAAATCTTTGACACCCGCTCTCCCTGCAGCCAGTCTCTTTTCCTCTCCACAAACTTCTCAGAAAAGCCTACAATTGGCTGATTTCCTCAATTCCAATTCAATCACTCCACTGCAGAACTTCCAGAAACTCCTTCTTCTAACACTCCTTTTCTTTTCCCGATGTCACTCTCCTGATTGTCCTCCCAGCTCTTTGCCTGTTTCTATCCTCCATCTCCAGCTGGACTTCCTTGAGGCGTGGCCCAAAGCTCACTCCTTTCCTTTCCTCCTCTGAGACATTAATTACCACTCAGAAACTTCTCTCTAGCCCACATCCCCCAGCCTCAGGCCCCCATGCTTTCCCTGCTTTAAGCACAATGGCTTTCCTCCAGGTTCTCCAGTAAGCTCTGCTTCCTCCCACTTCCTCCCACAAAGTGTTGGAAGAAATTAAAGATCTGAAGGAATAAAAAAAATCCCATGTTCATGGATCAGAAGACTTAATATTTTAAGATGGCAATATTCCCCAAATTGACCTAAAGATCATTACAATTTTTATCAATATCCCAGTTGGCTTTTTTTGCAGACATTGATAAAACTGCTCCAAAAACTCCTATGGAAATGTAAAGGACCCACAATAGCCAAAACAATCTTGGAAAAGAAGAACAAAGGTGGAGAACACATATTTTCTGATTTCAAAACTTACTACAAAATGATAGTAATCAACACTGGGTAGTACAGGAGTTCCATGGTGAGCAGGCCTATGCAAACCTACTCCTAAAGTCCAAGGAAGCTGAGAGGCCAAAGAAAGAGGATGACATATCCAGTTTCTCAGAAAGAAACATTTAATAGAAACTTATGAACAGAATCCACGTCCTGGGCAGTGACCAGATTAGATGGTGGATTCCCCACCCCATTACCCCACCAGACCCAGGACTTACAGATCTTAGGGAAGGAATGTATAGGACAATTGAAGTCTACCTTTCAGGGAAAGGCAAGAATGCTAACTGAATCTGCCAGACAGTAGGACTTATAGTCAAGGCTGTATTGACCTAAGCGCAGGATTTAGGCAATAGTAGATAAAGTAAAAATCTTAGAGACATTCCTAGAAACGGGTTAATCCTAAATCCAACATGGTGGATTAGCATCCAACAGGCATAAGGATAGACATATAGATCAATGGACTATAATAGCAAATCTAAAAGTAAAATTTTACATTTATGGTCAATTGATTTTCCCCAAGGTGCCAAGACAGTTCAATGGGAAAAGGGTATTCTTTTCAACACTGGGACATCTGGATATCCACATACAAATACGTAAAATGACGCAGGCACTTTGGAAAATAGCTTGGCAGTTCCTCAAAAGGTTAAATACGGAGTTACACTTTGACCTGGCAATTCCACTCCTAGGCATATGCTCAAGAGAAATAAAAATATATGTAAGTAGCATTCATCAGATGTTGGGGAGGAGGGAGGGAGGAGGAAGAGATGGGTAAATTCACACCCAATGGGTGTGGTACACACTGGGGATAGGTAGCTATGACTGTAGCTATGACTCCAATGGTGCAAAGGCAATATATGTAACCTCAACGTTTGTATCCCCATAATATTTTGAAATAAAAAAAAAAATGTGTCCACACAATAACTTTACACAAATGCTGGCAGTAGATTTATTCATAATAGCCAAAAAGTGAAAGCAATCAAAATAGCCATCAACTAATCAATAGATAAATAAAATATGGTATATACAAGCAATAGAATATTTTTCTTTTCCTTTTTTTTTTTTTTTTTGAGACAGAGTCTCACTGTTACCCCACGTACAATGTGTGGCATCAGCCTAGCTCATAGCAACCTCAAACTCCTGGACTCAAGCAATTCTCCTGCCTCGGCCTCCCCAGTAACTGAGATTACAGGCAAGTGCCACGACCTCCCGCTAATTTTTCTATTTTTAGTAGAGATCCGGTTTCTCTCTTGCTCAGGCTTGGTCTCGAACTCCTGACCTCAAGTAATCCTCCTGCCTCGGCCTCCCAGAGTACTAGGATTACAGGTGTCAGCCACCGTGCCTGGCCCATAGATTTTTCAACAATGAAGGAATGTGGTTCTGACACAATATGTAACAAGGGCAAGCTCTGAGAACATTATCCATAGTGAAAGAAACTAGTCACAAAAACTTTGAAAATATACTTACTGAAAGAAATCAGTCACATATTGTATGATTTCATTCACAGCAAATGTGCAAATTGGTATATCTATAGGGATAGGAAGCAGACTAGTAATTGCTTAGGATTGGGGGGTCGTGGTGAATGGAGACTGATTGCTACAGCGTGCTGGGTTTTTCTCTGGGGAGATGAAAATATTCTAAAATTAGATTGCGGTGATGAATGCACAATTCTGTGAACACACCAAAAAAAAAAAAAAACCACTTAATTTTACCCTTTAAAGAAGGAAATTTTATGGTATGTGAATACGAATTCTCAAAGAAAGTTCTTTTCAAAAAAAAGAAGAACAAAGCTCATGCAGACCCACTGCCTGCAAATTCCGGAGATTTCCCAAAGCAGAGGCTGCAGAGGCCGCGTGTTGGGGCGGAGGGGGTGGGGGACCAGCGGGAAACGGTAACCGGCCGGGAGAAGCCGCCATAACTTCCCAAAGGTGAGAGAACGACCGGATGCGTTGCTGCGACCCCCGCCCCCGCCCCAAGTCACTCCTGAGTCGACGCAGAAAACTGACGAGAAAATCCGCCAGTCCCCAGTTAACAACACTCACCTTCCAGACGCAGCAAGAGCCCGGAACCCGGAAGCGCAGGTGCCATCTTTGTTACGGGAAAAGCGAGGTTTGAAAGAAAAAAAATCACCGGAACCATCCTTGATGTGGGCAGGCAAGGGCCATGGAAGGCGGCCGCAGCCATCTTTACTGAGGACATTTGCCACCCAATGAAGCTTGTCGCACATGGCTAACTTGGGGAATTTCTAGAGGACACTTATCGACATAAAGGAAACGGAAAAAATATGTTTAAATTTTGTAAATGTATTTGTTTTTTAGCTACCCATTGGCCAAACACATAAAAATTTAAATGTTTACATTAAAATACATTAAAAGTAGAAAGAAATTAACAGAGGATGAAAATATTTTAATATATTAGCGTATGCAGGTAGGTACACAACTGCCAGAATTTCAGGACCACAGAAAAGAAACTGTCAAAAGACAAACATACTACAAATTTAGATTAAAGATCTAATTGGTTTTTATGTGCAGTTCTAGAATCGGGTAACATCTCATTCTCATAAAAATAGGATGAGTGTTCCTATGAGCTAAGCAGAAATGCTTGGCTTTAATAGGCAAAAAAGTGCTGAAGAAAGCAGAAAGAGACAGCAAAGAGCAGATTGATCTTTTCAAAGTTACTTTTCTTATGGGATTAAAACTGAGGAAACTTCCCTACTACACTTACTCAGGTTGACTGGAATCTCCGGTTTTTTTTGAAAACTGACTCATTTCAAAGTTCAGCTTGATTACACAGCACTTAGCACAAGTGACTCCATTCTGCTTTGGTCTGATCTGCTGGAGGTAGTGCAGGAGGCCAATCCAAAACAATGGCCTCCCATAAACTTTGTTTAAAAAGACTAGGGGCTATTTTTTCATTTCACCATTCTTCTTGAAAGAGTAGTATATGGTCATAGCCTCCTACAGATGCCTACGTTGGGATAAGACCCCACAACTTAGGAACCCTGCACTTAAGATGAATATTTTAAATAACACTACCTGGGGTTTGGCTAACTTCATGCCAGATTCTGTGAACTTAAGACACCTTGGGAGATGTAGTGGCCTTTAAAGGAAAATTTGAGGACAAAATTAGAAGTAAAACTAACTTTCCTTCACCTTCAGGCAACCTAACATAGCAACTGTAAATTTCATTTTCTCTACCAGCTTTGTGTATAGTTATCGAAGTGTATTATTCTGATTTTCACTTTTTTTTTAGTGATGAGCAATCAAACTGAATCACTTTTTTAAATTTACTATATCTCATAAAAACAGCCTTCCAAAAGTAAGGTAATAGATTGTGATTAGAGAAAACATGGAATGACATTATGTTACTTACCTGTTGAGAAACAAACAGAAAATTACAAACTCAAATTCAATTATTTCAATGAAATTAACTATCTGGATTAGTATGCAGCCATTAAAAATGATAAAAGATTTAGCAAAACAAAATCTTGGCTCATTCATTGCATTTCCGGTTCTCATGTGTCTTTAGTGTCCTTTAATCTCAATTTCTCAGTCATTTTTTGTATCTTGGCATTTACGTCTTTGAAGAGCATAGGGTAGTTATTTTGTAGAATGTTCCTCAATTTGAGTTTGACCCTTCCACCTGGTTCTCGATGGTTTTGAACATTGTTGATCACTCCCTCCCTCCCAAAAGCTCTTGTCCCTGGGTTTCCCTAATACCATCCTCTCCTGGTTTTCCTTTTTCCTCTCTGAAAATTCCATCTAAATCTCCTTTACTCTCTTCTGTCTCTTCAATGTGGGCCTCTCTCAGGGTTGTCTTAAATATTCTTCTCTTCTCTTGTTACCTTTTCTATGCAGACAATTCCCAAGCCTCTCAACCCATATTCATCCTGAGATTGAAGTCAACAGATCCTCCAGCCACCTTAAACTCGACCTACCCCCAAAGAAAACCCAGCATTTCCCCCACTTCTCAATCCACCTGCCCCTACGCCACTGTCCTCTGTGGCAGTGAGTTGGCCTATTTAGTCGCCAAAGCCAGAAACCTCTTCTCTTCCTTTGTCATCACCTTCCATATCCTGTCCCATTGATTCTTCCTTTTAAATGTCTCCTATCTCTTGATTCTCTCCATCCTCACTGAAAAGGGAGTACAGCCCACCATTATCTGCCACCTGGATGACAACAGCTTCACAATTGTCTACCCACCTCCCTCACAACCCAAGTTATCTTTTTAAAATGAAATTTTTATCGCCCCACTCCCCAGCCCTCAGACTGAAGCTCAAACTTCTTTTTTTTCCCCCACTGATTATGCAGAGCAACAAACTTCTTAATGAGATTTAGAGGGTCCCTACCCTATCTCCCATCACTGTCCCCAACTCTCCACCTATACTCTATTTTCCTTAAATACTCCATGATTTTCCTCTCTCAAACCTTTGAGCTTTTTCCCCCACACAATTTCCTCCCTTAGGAACACTCTTCTTTCTTCTTTGGTTCTTTCTCATCCTTCAGATCTCAGTTTTAGAGAATTGTTCCTCCTGGAACCTTCTCTGACTTATCTAATAGGAGTTAGTTGCCCCTCCCAGGAATGTTCACTTTCCACTATTTACCAACATTACTTTAAATTCCTTTGCCCTTTCTGTTTTCCCCCACAAAACTGTGTCTCGGGGGCAAGGACCATGTTTAACATTTTCATGCTATATTCCAGAACCCAGCTCAATGGCTCACATCCAAGTGTCCAGAAAGCGCTGTTATTATGCACATGAATGAATAAGTAAGTCTCTTCCCAGGTCTTCCCCATTCTCCATTTCCCATCCACACCCCATTCAATCCTTAACACCCTTGAGAAGTCTCAACAACATGACTTATTCATGACCTGTTATCAGTGAAAGAAATCTTGGAGACTTTACCATTGTCACCTTTGCTCGAAAAAAAATTGGGGTGTAAGTTAACTCTCACTTATTCTTCTGTGTTTTTCCCATGACAAGGCTTATCTTTCTGATGGGCTTCCTAGAGCAAGTTTGTAAAGCCTAGAGTGACTTTCTTTGTCATATAGCATGCCTCTGACCATCCTCTCTTACCACTTTCAGTTAGTCAGTGCAGAAGAAATGAAAACTAATTGAAGTAGTCACCAAAACAAAACCTTACCTCTGCAGAGAAGGCAAAATAGAGCTTATTGCATTCTGAAAGTAAAGCATAAGTTATTTTGGAGTCCCCGCGGGTTTACTATCGATTATATAATGGCTGTATAAATTGAGTTATGTCACAATTTGAAGCTCTTTATATTTCCATAATTTTCTGCTATCAGCTAAGCCAGCTACTTCAGCCAAATCTTTCAACAGAAAGAAGTCATTTTAGTTGAAAAACCAAAATAGCCCTTTCAAAGTGAGATGATGTTTGCAATTATCTTATCTTTCTTTGTCATTCTGAACCTTGATCTAATTACTTTCTCATCTGGGGACTTGGCCTTAAGAAAGCGGAAAGAAAAATCACAAAAGTTCAAGTGTTACGTAATTAATGAGTCTCAAGTCATCTTATTGCTTTTTCAATCGTACAACATTCTAAAGTCACAATTTAGCAATGAATTAACAACGAAGGAGAAATATCAGATAGACTGTAAGCTCCCTGACTAGAATGGAAGATCCATGAGGGTGAAACTGTGGGTTTTATTTGCCAATAAATACCCAGTATTTGAACAGTGTCTCACTCAGTAACTTCTTCTTTTTTTTTTTTCTTTTTTTTCTCTTTTTTTTACGTTTTCAGCAAAGGATTGAGTTCAGTAACTTCTCGTATATTTATAACGAACATATGCTTGGACTGTAAGAACTAAAAATCAGTACTAGCACAATGCTGAGCAAATGGTAAAGACTTTAAAAATACTATTTGATGGAGGGGTGGAGGGAATAAAAAAAATAAAAATACTACTTGATGAACATCCCATGATGCTAGGAAAAAGAGTCCATTTCCTGGGACCTCAAGTATGTGAGGGTTTAATAAATAGCATGCCATTTCATGGTTCTAGGGACAGACACATCTATCTGGCCGATGGCCCAGAGCCACCCTCAACTGCCACAATAAACAGTGAGACTGCAAGTGCTGTGACTGTGTGGTCAGGAGGCTGGGCTTGATTGAACCATGGCTCTCTTACTAACCAATTGTATGACTGTAGCCACTTAACCTTAATTTTCTATCTGTAAAAAGGAAACAATAAATGCATTTGAGGACTATGTAAAAAAAAAAAAACTGCTTGATGAAGTAAATGACAGACTGATGGCGACCAATTCTAAATTCATTTTCCTCCCAAATTAATGACTTCAACAATGCCAGAAGTAATGAAAGTGTTGTATGTCAGCTGAAAACAAATGCAATTTGAAGAGGCTTCGGCCATCAGTATTTAGATACATCTGAATACTAAAGAATAATTTGATTCTTACGTATTTATTGGAATGTGAAATATCAAGTCTTAGGGGAACCACTGCAAAGCTTAGAAATCAGCAGGTGCACTGCCTGTGGTAGCTCACACCTGTAATCCTAGCACTCCAGGAGACCAAGGCAGGTGGATCGCTTGAGCTCGGGAGTTCAAGACCAGCCTGAGGAAGAGCAAGACCCCGCCTCTACTAAAAATAGAAAAATAAGGAGGGCGTGGTGGTGCACATCTGTAGTTCCAGCTACTCGGGAGGCTGAAGCAGGAGGATGGCTTGAGCCCAGGAGTTTGAGATTGCCATGGCATTCTACCCGGGGGGGACGGAGTAAGACTCTGTCTCAAAAATAAATAGATAAATGAAGATTTGGCTACATAGAAATGTGAAAGGTGCCCTAAACTCATACTGGCACCACATACAAATCAGAAAAGGAGCTAATTCCCATTTTGTGTGAAGAGGTGGTTCCTGAGGAGCTGCTGGGGAAAGACGTTATGGTTAGATGGGACAAGCAGAGTTCCAAGACATTTGCATGAATGTGCACGGAAAGACTGTGGTCCATATACAGTGGTTATCTCTAGAAAGCAGCATTCGGTGGGGCTGGGTCAAAAGTGGATACATTTTACTTGATAAACCTCTATGTCATTTGGATTTT